CGGAACTAATGTAAGTCCCATCAGGAATATAGGATCATCTTTTCCTGCACTGTTTGGTTCTGTACATCATTGTGTAGGCCATATACACGCGATCAAATGTCAGTGCGCTTTTGTATTAAAGTCGGAGACGTGGCGCATCCTATTAAGGGGTTTTCTACCTTTTCAATTTTTCTTTTCGACATTTTGACAAAAGGAAGGTTTGATAATTATTTTTCAAAGAATTTTTCGGAATGACACGTTCAGACGGTTCCTCAGTGTTCCATTCCATTGAAGATAATTCGCTGAACAGTCGTTAAGACAGCGATTATCAGGTCTCAAAGGCGATGACCTCGTCTATCTTCTTTTATAATTTGTTGTTCCGTCTAGGATAACGGCAATTTTCCTTGTAATTTCTTCAAATTGAACTTGACACATGACCACTGAGAAAACGAAAATCATTTCGATTGGAGGTGACACTCAAAAACATCATCAGACATTCGAAGAGAGAGATATACCAAGATCTTTGGATCAAAAGTACTTCACCGACCTATTCCTTTTTCATATCATGCATCCCCTAATGGAGCTATTATATCCCTATAACACACTTTTTGTAACTTGAATGACTCAGTGTATGAGAGTTTCTGTTTACCTCCCATTTCATCAACTAGATCGAGTCTCTCCGAATTCTTAATGAATTCTTTACCTGTTGAAGTCCGTAACCCTAGGTCCGATCTGCCTACGATAACGAAAAGTTCAACTTCTACAAAGAATCGGAAGTGGAAAATAAGGGTCAAAAAGGAAAAGAGAGACAACTAATTTTTAAGATTGCTCTTAGAAATGCTCATCAAATTTTCGGTGCAGTCCGGATGTGCGGCGTAATCGAAGCAGTTCGGTCGATAATGCACACCTTTTTCTCATTTCATCGTCCTTTTTCTGTGTTTCATGCTCTTTATTAGCTGCCTTTCAACTCATATGAGTCTCCCCTGGATCGAACCCCTATAACCGACTTAAGCGCGCCACCCTCTGACTTCATTCTTCACAGTTGGATAGTCTGACAAGATGGGATCACCAGCTTGGACCCGACTGGTCCCTGCAGCTGTAATTCGCAAGTGTTTGAGTTCAGAATCGTTATAAACTCGTGTAGGTGTTCCTTTTATTGAAATTCCTGGAAAAAGCGGTCGATATATAATCTATCGGCCCTTCAGCACCGCCCATTGCACTGTGCCTAATCGACCATGTTATTGTCGTCAAAAACATTCAATATCGCTTGTACTTTGGGCATGGGAAACGCTGCAAAACATACGGTCAACGATGGGTGTTTTGGCAGTTTCAGTAAGCTAACGATCGCTATTGAAAGGCGTTAGTTGCCCTTGGTTTTCGGGTCGGTCTTCGATCTCTGGTATAAGCGAGGGGGCGTCACTGCGATCAACCAGATGACGTGATGGTTCATTTCTTGGAAATACGGAATTGTGAATTCGATTAAAAGGGCACCACACATGAACAGTACCCAAAACTTCACGTGTACAAGAATATCTCTGTTAGAGGATACTGCCATTCAATCAGAAAGTACAGTATAAAGCAGTAAGTGAGTGCAACTTCTTATTTCCTAATGTTTGGCAACTGGTACCAATGATTTTGAAAGCGCAGATGAAGCAGTGGTAGTGGGCGCAACATAAAGAATGTTTGGGTCGCTGTATCAAAGACCCAAGGCCCTGAGCTACTCAACCATCAAGGTTCTTTTGTATGAAGCAGGTCTTTTTCAAGAGACGAGATCAGGCAATCGAGCTGGCAAGCTNGCGAGGGGGCGTCACTGCGACCAACCAGATGACGTGATGGTTCATTTCTTGGAAATACGGAATTGTGAATTCGATTAAAAGGGCACCACACATGAACAGTACCCAAAACTTCACGTGTACAAGTATACCCTCTACCTCTGTTAGAGGATACTACCAATCAATCAGAAAGTACAGCATAAAGCAGTAAGTGAGTGCAACTTATTTCCTAATGTTTGGCAACTGGGACCAATGATTTTGGAAGCGCACATGAAGCAGTGGTAGTGGGCGCAACATAAAGAATGTTTGGGTCGCTGTATCAAAGACCCAAGGCCCTGAGCTACTCAACCATCAAGGTTCTTTCGAGTGAAGCGGGTCTTTTTCCAGTAGAGGAGATCAGACAATCGAGCAGGGAAGCTTGGGTGGCACCTGTAAATCCTAACTTCAAAGGATAATATCCATGTTTTCCCTAGCGGATGCATGATGGTGCACCCCAAGGGGATTCAATCAAGGGTACAATAGCCACTAATTTTGATATCACAGCGAAATTGCTGAACAGTGACGAAAATGTCAAATGACAAAACTTCCTGAGCTGAGATTTCCTTTTGATGTGGGCCCGGCTTCCCACCTTTGCAATGAACCTAAGAACCTTCTTATCGAGCTCGTAGAGTCAGGAAAAAGGCGGATATGGCCCATAAGAGTTCTGATCCAAGCTTGATTCTCAAACTATGGGCATATTTATAGCTGGGCAATCTATTTCACTAGTTGATTGAGCGGGTCAGCTTATGCTTCAGTCGAAGAAAGCTTCTATCAAGATTTCTTTTCTTCATCGATTCCTAATATAGACGTAACCAGTAATTATCGATTCAGTTCTCGTGGTGACAACCTCCAGAAGACCAAAAGTGATGGTTTGGTCGATCGCCTAAACTATTCATTCAACGACGAATCCAGTCAACCAAAGCATAACTACATCGTCACTTCACTATCGCAGACTCAAGAGTTAGTGGAATCCTGCTTACGTAATTAAATTAACTTAACTTTATTAACTTACCTTTATACTCATCTTCGGTCGCTTCCCAAGTAATTAATTGAATGTCCTGATCAACAAAAGAACTTCAACTTGCAGTCTGTCTAAACGGTGGCCTTTTAGGAAGACGTATCATTCTCAAAATGTGGTGCTAAGCTAAGCCTGATTCCGTCCTGGGTTGTAAACTACGCTTGATTCCTTTTATCTTATTCTTAACAGTCTTTTATAATCCCCTTTAGGTTCCCATATGGTGCCTGTTTCGCCTTGCTCAGCTCTGGGACTAAGAACTTCATCATCCTCCTAAACTGGCCGTGGTTGGAATGAAATTCGTCTTTTTTGCTTCCATGAATTTTCGATTTGCCCTACCTATTGAGTATAAGCAGAGTTCCATCAAGCTCCACCATTGCTTTTTCTGAGTGTTCCTATTGGTGATGACCACCGTCAAACATTTTGATGTGGTCCAGAAGAAGCCGCAGTGTCCGAAACATTGCCCCGGTTAGTCAGATGTCTTAAAAAAAAGTTGAAAAGTTGGTTGTATAGAGCTCTGAACTCTGGCCAGGCTGAGCGTGTGGAAAGGAAATCTTCGTGATAGTTAGTAGATGCCATGATTCCTGTAATGCTACTTTTTACAAAATAATTCTAACCAAAGAAGAGGTCTTCGCTAACAACACTGTGTAATTGTATGAGTCCGCCCATACAAGTTTCCCAGAAACTGGTTTAATTGGACAAACCCTATCCAAGATTTATAGCTGGACTTATTGGATTATTTTTCTTTGTTTTTCTGCAGGCAGGAAAACCAATTCAGGGTTCTACGGTACTTGCCAAGTGGCTGAAATTTCCGTTGAATCGGGAAACACCATGACCCTGTTCTCACTTTATATGTTTCCTGTAACCTTCTGCTCAAAAAACGTCCCAACCGCATCTACATAATTCGATACTTTTACAGAAAACAACGGACTCCGACTGTTCGGTTGCTCTATGCAGAATTGGATGCATTACCCTCAGCTGATAGAGGACAGCAAGGTGGCGAAGTGAGCAGATGTGATATGAATGGCGGTGTAAGCGATTCCAAAGTCTTCATCCATAAAGGAGATGAGCAGGTCAGTATTTCGTTACCCATTTGATCAGTTTTACCCAGTACGGCGAGTAAGGGCAGATTTAACTTGGGAAGGATTGACAGCATCTTATATATTTACCTTCCATCTAAGATTGGCTCTAGTCGTGATTACCCAGGTATGGGTCAGAAGGCGCCTTGGCTGCTGATGGACCAGAATCTAGGTCATCAGACCGACATACTTCGGGCTCGGCACAGCGCATATATCACGTCCGATGCTAGCGCCGGTGCATCTAGCGATTTTAGGATGACTTGTTCCACCTCTGTGTAGCTGAACCAGTTCTACGGATTTCTTTTTTCTTTCCTGCACATTTTAAAATCTACAGTAAGCCACTTAATTTTGTTTCACCTCTTTTATTTTTTTTGTGTTGAAAAATTGGGTCTTCTATGCTTATCTGGGAAAGCCTCAACAATTCTAGCGTACTCGAAGCTTCACTTTAAGCTTCTATTTACCTCATTTCGATAGATGTCCTGACAATTTTTCATATTCGTAGTCAGTTTCAGCTGAACAATCAGGTTATCCGGATTATGATTTTTCAACTAATTTCTTTAATATCGCTTGTAACTATTTCTAGGTCCCATGCACATCGAAATCAAACGGACAAGCTATATTCAACCGATCCTCTCGTTCGGAACCTACAGATATCAAGGATCAAAAAGAATCTCCACCTCCAAATTTCGATTTGTCCTCACAAAGTCCAGATGAGATTTACAGGTAAGACAACTTTTGCTGAAAATATTCAATAAAAAAATTTTGTGTTTCAGAATAGGGAAAATAAAAAGAAGAGAGTACCATTGGTATAGCTTGCTCGATAAGTTGGCCAAATATTCAGCCAAAGATTCTGTTACTACATAAGGACCCCCACCTGGGTAAACAATTTGCTTAGCTGGCTTAAATGAGGTCTAACGTCCTGTCAGATACACCTCGAAAATTGAATGGGAACGGTAGGCTATATCGAACTTACTGTACGAAATCCAAACGCGGCCTTTCCTCTGATAAGGCCTGCATAGTCGGGTATGCACCGCAAATGGATTCAGTCAGCCGCTAAATGATTTGTTTTCGATGATTCAGTTGCAGCTGATCAGTCTTTTTGGGTGTTTGTCCCAGTTTCAATCTTTTTTCTATCATCAAACGATCATTTATCGCAACCAGAAGTGACAAGCGGTGCCCCTTAACAAAAAGGGGAAAGCTAAATTAGGTGAAGTAAGGGATAATAGGACAAGAAATAAAGCTCGTAGCTCCAATCATCCTGCTCAGGGATGCAGCCACACATTCGACATCCAATCAGAGTTGTAATGGCGTTTGGATGGCTATTTGGCCTATGGGTTGACTTGCAATGTCTGCAGGTGAAGAAGTCGTTGCTCCGATCTTCCCGAACAATACGAACTTACTGTCATCAAAGGGAAGGTCTGTTTACTCGGGAGGTTATCGATGAATAGCCTGATTCCTGGAACATGCACTTGACAGCATCCTCTTTCACCTAACAACAAGAGACTGTAGGCTTCTTCAAGCCGTTCCCCTTCTTTCAGTCAAGTTTCACTTCATCTGTATGGCTTATTTCAACCATGCCCATATATTTTTCTCGTTTGGGANGAAAGCTGCTACGTCTCCCAGATAAACAGTGCTTTGAGCCTTTTTTGTAATTTGCTCACCTCTGAGATAGTCGTCCGGGGGGTGATAGCGTCACAGGATTTGTTAAAACTTCACAGGGCCTCAGCAGAACCCTCGGATTGGATAGTGTAAGGCCAATGTCTACCACTCATCACACCGAACTACCGTTATCGGAGAGTTATAGAGATGTTCGTTTTTAATGAATTTGGGGTAGCGAAAGTGGATACTGTAATCAGTAGGCAACAGTCCACCTCGGTATCGTATATGGTACTTGCCCCCAGTGGCTTTGTTCCAGTATTAGTCATGTTCTCCTTCTATGTTCGATCTCTAATTAAGCTCACACGCTACCGTATACGCTGAATGAGGATTTTTCTTATTCGAAAGTCATAGGAGGTTCATGAGTGGAAGGTCGAATGAATCGTACTGTAACATTTCACCTTCAGCAATGCATATGACGAATTGTTGGCTGAACGTAAGGCGATGTGCCAGCTGCAACCAGCCGTTCTGCGCTGTCACATAAAAGCATAAGTGCTATGTAGCCTTAATAATATCGAGCAGCATTTCGTCAGACGAAATCATCATCGAGACGTGATTCATACTCAATCATGAAAAGAGTCATTCCAGCGATGATTATGTCCCGAATCTAGACGAGCAGGACGTCGGTAGTGAACGGGACGGTATCGACTATAAGAGGAGGTGCTCAACGCCACCGTTGATGACGTCGACACCGTATACGACACTGGAGAGAAAAGACAGGTCTGTCCATCCCACATGACACTGTACACCCTTTGCAATTGGGGTGCGATTCACACCTTTTGCTTCAGTTTTGTATAGTCCTTTGTCTCTTCACTTATTACTAGAAAATGACAAAATGCCAATAAATCGATAACAAATTGGCACAAATTTTTCCAGAGACCAAATGGATATGCTTAGTGACGGCCGAGAATTGAGGCAATCACACTCGGTCCCGACTATCCTGAACACCAAACCCACTGCCGACAGATCTTCGCTGTCCAACATGCAGGTGACCGTTTATTCCTTGATTTTCCCTTGGCATAACCCTTGTAATTCTCCCTTCTGTCTTGGAAAGCATTTTGTACTGAAGCTTCCGTTGCATCATTCACTTCAATGTATCGTGAGCCTACTCCTCCTGTGCTGGACGAGAATCGGAGCGAACCATGGGGATAGTTGGCGTTTAATCGAGTCAGTAGCAAAATTGCAGACTGTTCCACCTGATGCTCTTACAGTGGGCGTTAGAGAGGTAGAATAAATGGGAGGGTGAATAAAGGACAGAAGGATGAAAAATCCGGCACTGATCGATTCCTCTGTCCCTGTTCCCTCGACAGATTCCTCTTCCATTCAGAATAGTGTCACTGTGGCTTCTGAATGTTTATGTGGCGTATGAAATGACATGCGTGGCTATCTAACGGTAGATTCGAGGCTTTTATTATTTCGGAAGCTTGGGCCCATAAGCACAGCCCAGGATGAGCTCCAAACCTCATTATTATGGACACCAGAAGCTCCCACAATTTTCAAATCCTAATCTCGAATACTATTTCTAACTAATTGCAAACTTCCCACTGCAGTGCCGCTGAATATGGCGGTCCCGGTGGACCGTAATAGCCACATAGGGTCACATGGTTCATATGGATGATGGTGATGAATGTTTCTAAAGGCCTCCCAGGTTGCACAGAAATTTTTCCTCATCTTCCTTCTAACGGCTTTTCATATAGTGGGTGTGTAGGAGGAGATGGACTATGGGGAAGATAGAGATGGGAGAGAGCAGATTTTAATAAATGTTATTGAGGAAAATTGCATAATTTCCCTTTCCCGGCATACTTGTGGGCCATTTTCCCCGCAACGCCAATTTAATTGATCAATTCGAAAAAAAAANAAAAAAAAACCAAGCTCTCAAAGCTTTTGATGGCTTCTATTTATGCCATATACTGATTATATTCTGCATTTTTCCCACAAGTTATTGCGATTGTTGGTTCAATCGATTCCAGTTTGTCGTCTTAATCCTTGAATATCAAATGATAATCGATTATACTTCAAAAAAGATGATTGATAGGCGTTCCATGAGGTCGTTCAAAGTGGTCAGAAGGTTTTGCTATTTTCCAAATAACCTAGACGGATTGCATTCCACATTGGATGGGAGCAATCTCCAATGTTCTTTGCAATCGTTGCAGGAACTTCAGCACTTTTGTTGCGTCCTGTACATACATCGGCTGATAAAAATAAAGGGAACCCCTTTTAGAAAGAATGGAAGAAGTTCTAAATCACCAGTTTTTTTCTCCCATCGTTGCCCACTAGTCCTTTCTACGAGGGGGCACTCAGCTCCTTTACCCGATCCCTTTGACCCGACAGTTCTTTCAGGGGCGCCTGTTTGGTCTCAAACATGTCTGGGAAGTCAAAATAGTCTGGATCAAACATCTGGAACACTGTAGGCCGCTATGATTTTGAATTGAAATCGTGTGGCTGGATTCCTGACGCTGAACTGTTCGACCTTTGTCCTTCTATCCCCCAAAAGCGCTAGTGCAGCGAGAGTACACTACCAAACCTCCACTGCTACCCATGCTTCTGTAATTCTGTGGTTTTTCACATTTCCATTAATCCGTAAACACTGACGCCGTCTACCTGTCCCCGCGAATACCCTGTTCCAGTCATTACCACGCTTTGCCAATCAAACACAAAACCTCTCCCAGCAAGCCCTTTTCTAGATGGTTTTGGAGGATAGAAGTGTACAATCCTATACAACCAAGCTTTCCAATCCCATTTAGAAAGAGTTACTGCTGTCTACTTGTCGGGCTTATGATTTTGAGTTTCTGGGCCGTTGGGCTATTATTCGTTAGCTTTCATTCCCCCTCCGGCTTGGACATCATCTGCATTGGATCCATCTATTTTTCCTTAAAGGCCGCTAGGGATCAGAACAGGATTGTAAACAAACAGTATAAGTGGCAAATAAAAAATACATCTTATTATAATTAGTCGTTATACAGGTACATTACATGATCATGACTTCGTATTATATTACATGTAAATATCCAACAAGGAAAGTCTCTAGAACTCGAAGTTCAATGAGGTAGAACATTCGATCTCTAGTCCACTGTTTGGCGATGCTGATGGCTGTCAAGCGACAATCGGGTAGTATTTGGATCAAAACCCGCTTAGTCCTAATCGAGTGTCAGGCTCAAATAGAAATGTTCAGATAATACCCCCATAGAAAAGACCTCACGTACCTTTCTCCGCTGACAGAGACCATGCTTTTCGGAGAGCAAAATTTAAACTCCTTCGCTTTTATTCGAGTTTCAAGATAGGGTCTTTACGCTAAAGAGCCCCTTTCTCTGGAATAGAGGAAGAGCTCTAACCCGAGAGAAATGGCAACTGCCGGGGTACAATAGTATTTTCCCTAGAGGGACCATCCGGATTGGATACGAACCCGAAGACGCATAGAATCACCAGTGGAAGGCATTGCTCTAAATCTATTTGTTAGTTTTTTGTAATAGTTTATGGTATTTTATGATTTTCTTGAGTTTTCTTTGCAATCTCTCTCATTTGTTTCTGCTGAGAATTCCTTAGTTCAGAGGTTCCAAACAAGATCAATTCCCATTACACCTGACAATCTTGGTATTCTTCAATTTCAATTTGCCTTTTTTTCATCATTTCTACTCTCATTGATGGTTTCGGGAAGGGAATACTATCGAATGTCGCTGTAGCATCCTTGACACTACCTCTTTTCCTCATTCCCACCTCCTTCCCCCTTCTCCACCTCCCCTCCATATCTTAGTCTCATTACCTCTAGGCTTACTGTCTCGATGTTTAGTAAACGAAATTCATAGGTAGTTTGAGGCGCTTTCAATCACTAATTACGGTTAGGCATATCATTTACAGGAGAGGAAGTTACTGGATGACCGCAACGATTCCGAAGGCTCACTACCTAGGAAGAGGTCATCAGCAACTCCGATTCACGTCGTCAATCAAGAGCGTAAAAGCAGTTTGGATTTCCATGATTCAGGAAAGAAAAATCGTAAAGCCACTGTGAACGATATCGATTGGTACGCTGCGTTCAATATGAAGGTACTATTCCATTGTTTTTTATTGATTTTCCAACCATTTTTTTTTCAAATTTGAATGCTCGTTTTCATGATCGTAAACTTCTTTTCCCTCTGTCACCCCATAATGTATTGATAGTTACCACTGTTTACCAACATTTATCAACAAGTAATTGTTACAATTTTTCTAAAATTGGATTTTTTTGATCTTTAATTTATTTTTTATCGTCTTCATTTTTGCCTTCCTTACACATTATAATGGCTCCTATGAATTTGATTGTAAACCTTTCAGTCCTTCCCTCACTTGACTTTGTAATTTACAAATCTCAGTTTTCTAGAGGTCTATTCGTTTAGGAACCGTCAACACCCAGATCACCCACTAGCGTCTCTAGTGTAGATGTAATGAAAGGAGCTGAGGATGTTGGCGAACACTCACATCGCCTGAGCCGTGACGCTACTAGGTACGAGTCGGAAACAGCCGTCGTGAAGGGCTTCGGAGGGTTTTCCTAGATAATTTTCCCATTTGCAGATCAACGTCAGAAAAACCACTGCAGCCAAGCCAGATAGATTTGGATGAGGTTTTCTGTGTAAACGAAGCCAATGGTGGTGACACTACCAAAGAATGCAACTGCAAGGCTTGCCTTCTCACGAAGATGAGTGACGAAGAGAGGGCGAAGTTTACGAGGCAGCTACCAGAACGGTCACAGGTCCCTTCCTCCAGCGATGACACTCAGCAACGCTCTCATTCTGCAAATATCACACAGCCTGTGGATATCTCTCTTGACGACGTGTTCAGTGGAATTGACTCGAGCGCTGATGGAACCGAGAAGAATGGCACCCAGCAAACAAGGATTCAATCATGGACAAGGATTAGCCGGTCCGAGGAACCGACACGCCAGGAGGCCGACTGGGTAGAAAAGTTGGTTCAAGAGGAAGGCACTCATGAAGGCCCGTCTTCCGCGTCAGCAGGAGATGCACCACGACATTCAGATTCTACTGTGAGGGCTTCATATTCCGAGGAGGCTCATGCGGGAGGAAGGTGTTCTGTTGACAAAAGTAGTCATACTCAAGAAGAAGAGCGAGATAGATGCAGTCGGGCTGCGAGCCCTGATGAGAAGCTTCAATTCGTCAGCAAAGAATCCAGTGGAGACCAAGAGGGCAACGGAAACACCTCAGTAGAAAACTCAGAAGAATGGTTACGGTCACTAGTAGGGGAACCAGCAAAGGAGACAGTGACCGAAGCACAGGAACCCCAACCAGTCATGGTGGCGCCTTCGTCTCAGAAAGGCTCAAAGGATGATCTCAAAACTGAGGCAATTGAAGACAACGAAGCCAAGAAAGGTCGGGACTCTACTGCAGGTGCTCAGGTACGGTTTCGTTTCGCTATGAAGAGTAACTGAGAAATGATGAACATCAATAAATTAGATAAATTGCTGGACATCTATAAATTAGGTCAATTCAGGCTAAGTGTGAACCTCTGGAGGTTGCTGAGACTGAAGATCGGTCACTCCAGGATGAGAAGGGCACTCACGAAACAGCGGGTATGCAATTCTTCACGTTGCTTTCTTTACGTTCAAAGACAACTCAGGGGACGGCTTCAATTGGTACCGCTCAAACTAGTCATTGACATCAGGCACCAACCCCATCTATGGACCACTGGGTGTTACTTACACAGCGTAAAGGTATCATCGGAGTGGCCAATGTGATTGCTTCAGCAGATGTGTTGCTATTTACCCAGACAGGTGGCACTAGAAACCTGGCTTCACTTGATACAGGATTTAGAAGGGATCCGATCTTCATGCTTTGTACGTATCTGAAATATCCTTTTCCCACTTACGCTACGAACTGGAGGCAGAATCAAAGTTCTATCTTCCCGATTCTAAATCGAAGGCCTGGAGCATCCTCGGGGTCTCTCTTTATGGCGATCATTTCTCCCGTCGATTGCTTCATAATTCAGGTCCCTCTGAGCCGCAAATCTTTGACGAAAGTCCAGAAAGGATACACTATCCTCCTCATAGACTATCCCTAGTTGGCGAGGTTCATAGAAAACCGAGTGTGCTTGAGGAGACGTCGTATAACATTGGTACGGTTTCACTATAGTATCAAGAATTTATTGTTTTTATCCTTTACAACTTTGGTTTATACTCTTATTTGCAGACCATCTGTCACCGAAGGACTATGTCTCCAAAGCGTACACCCAACGCCTGTCACAGCTGAAGTCGCAGCTTGGTCTGGAGGAAGAACAGGAAAAGAAGGTTGTCGACGATGCTGCGGCTGCCTCCGAACAGCAACCGGCAGCATCTTCACAAGAACGTGAGCAGTTTGTGACGCCGGTGTTCTACACCGACGAACCTGTCCATGCCACTAGTGGGGACGCTGCCGAGGAGAAAGTGATGAGTGATGAGGCTCTCATCGATGCCATGTTCAGCGAAGTACTCGATGGTGAAGCTAGTGAAAGGACAAGCCTCGGAGCGGACTCCATATCACGAAAGATCAACCCTCAGGAGATGACGAACACAACCGAGAACACGAAACATACACTTGAGAAATCGAAAAGTTTCGATGACTGGTATGGTAAACCGGCACCGGTTGAAGAAGAGGATGTGAAGGAGTACGTTTCCGATTTGCTCAGTCAATCGTTGAGTGAAGCGATCTTTTCGGCATCACAGAGCTTGAAGAGAAAGACGAGCAGGGGCAAGAGGGGTATTCTGCTCACTGATACATCTTTCGATAAGAAGTTGCTTGAAAAATACAGGTCGGAGACGCTGGATGAGGGGGATGACCAGGATTCAGATGAGAATCATCGCCAAGAAAGCAGCGACAAGAAACAAGCTGCAGGAGAGAATCGAGAAAATGGCAACGAGGACCCGATTTTAAAAGCAGTGTTCACTTCCAGTATAGATAATCAACAATTCATGGAATCGGTAATCTCCTGCCCCTCTTCGATGGTACCATCCCCTCGATACACCTCGTCTGCTCTGACTACACCGGGAACTGCGAAGACTAAAGATGGCTCTGACGTCTTCTTCCCTTCCAATCCTGTACCTGGCCGTGCGACGGCTGAGGCTGATACGACTTTTGTATCGAGTGCTAGTCTGATGATGAATGATACACATTCGTCTTCTGAAGGCGATTACGATGATGATCACATCATTAAGTTAGTATTTTCTGATTTACCCATCAAAGGGAAGCGGTCAGTAACGCCGACAGCAGAACCTGTCAGGATACGACAATCAAATATGGAGACCATGGATGAGACCGTGGAGGAGTCATGCCAGACGCCGAACAGTTCCGTGGATTCTGAAGTGAGTTAAACTCAAACATTGCTTGAGAGCATACTGAATTTTCTGTCCGTCCAGTAGCGGAACTGGGCGACTTCCACTTACAATCGTTCAAGGCTGTCTTCGGGGCTTTTTACCGCCTCTCAAAAGCAGCAATCGATGAATGATAATTTCAATGAACCAACATTGATAAGGCCTAATGGCTTTATGGGCCCACTTCCATTTTATAATAACTCCCATAGCACGAATCCTTTGAGTATACTAGGCCTCCGATTTTCTTTTTTGACGACAGTTTCCAGGGCAATCTGGAGAATCCAGTTTTCCCAGTAGTTGGTGGAACGCCTTGATCGCTGTTATCAATTCAAGATTGCTAGCCTGAGCATAACGACTATTTCATTGCATGAATTCTATCTATCATAGTTTGACCGGTACTTCCGGATGGGTTCAATACTCAATCTTTTCATATGTCTAATTCATAGTGAGCAATTCGTTTAGAGCTATGCACTGTTAATTTTGCCTTGACGAGGCAATAGGCCTGTGTCTGAAGGTTCTGGCTGGCTACTACTGTTTTTTTTTTCAAACTGCCAATCAATGTGGCAACTCCACTTCTCTGTTTCCTTTAATTTTCAAGATTTTCGGCATAAGACGTCACTTTGCATAGCGATACCTCTTTCCATGATCAATCTCAGTCATACAGCCTTATTCTAAACTTGGTGTCGGACTGCTAGCCGTGCAGCCTGTTCGGATAGGAAGAATCATCATCATCCAAAATTCCTCTTTACAGTGCTTCAACGTCGATGACAGATCCACGCCCACAATGGATCATAATCATAGGAAAACTGATGATGAAATGTTAGAAGTCGAAGTATTTGCTGATCATTTCCATATCAAAGGCAACTATTCCCTAATGATCAGCAAGGTTGTTGTTTTTCAAAGCTAATCTACATACTTAAATAAATATTCGGCTTCAGGACGATCCACTTGGTGCACTGTTGAACGACTTACATTCAAAAAGAACTAGCTCATTAGATTTCTCCATAAATCCACGGTTACGAAGGCTTTTGTTCCAATGTCTTCAAGAAAAATCTCGCTATTTGTCCAAAGGTTTCCTATTTTTTGTGCTCATTATGTTCGATTTTGGAGAGTTTTGATACGACGTTTTTAGGGTCCAATTTGATTTCTTTGCGTGCGCGACATCTGCTCACTGATGAAGATCCTTCACATGAAGTAGAACAGTTAGTTAGTCGGAATCGATTCGATGCGGATACAAATCCTCGGGTGAGCTTCAAACTAAAAGGCTGTGGTTAGTCTGACGGTGATAGCAAGCCATTCTGTGAACTTGTTGCTGTGTCCGTTGAGAAGAAGGGCCCAAAGAAACCGCCCAACCTCCCCAATGGGCTTTGTTTTAAAACACTACCCACGCATCCAACTCGACCACTGCTCGTGAGGCTGACTATTTGCTTGTCTGTTTATACGGGGTTAGAGACTCACTACTTTTCTCCTTTTTTAGCTTTTCTCTTCCTGANACCCCCCCCCCCCCCCCCCCCCCCCCCCCCCTCCCATTCTCCCTGTTCTCCTCACCTCTTCGCCATAATTACATCCCTATTGAACAACTGCTTTGAAGATAGAATTTTGCAATTTCCTCCTCCGAATTAATAGGTTTTTTCTGGTCACACACTGAAAATTGTATTTGGTCATCAATGCAGGTAATTTTTAGGGTAACATCAATTTCTGTACAGCAGCAAACAATCTCTGTGCTAATGAAATGATGGCTCAACTTCGAAAGAAAGGTTTTTCGCCAACCGAAGCACACTTAGTATATTATCCACCTGCAGGAGGGCACTCAAGGTACGTTCCTTGTTGAAATTTCTTCTTTCCGAAAGGCTTTACTGGAATTTGAAGAATGAGCCACACCTGTCATATTCCATTAAGAATAATGTACGTGTACCTCTGCCTACATGTTGTAGATCAGTTGTGGGAGGAAAAACGAATCCGACTTCCACGAGTAGCCTATTTAGTTTAAGACTTGGCTGAGATAATAGAAGCGTTGAGAAATCGAGCAGAGAATTTCCAATCAATTTGAATTTTGCAAATTCGAACCCGAAAAACAGGCACCGCGACATCCAAAGATGCTTGATGGGTGGCACGGTCTAAGTGGGGAATGAAGGTCAACCTCTGTCGCCCCAACTCTGCTTTACGGTACTACTGCTCTGGAATGTTCAAATGCGTTCAACTTTAAATGATTCCAGCACGAAGACGGTAATGTGCAGATACATGGCCGAATTTATGTCAGCAACAGTTGGTGAAGATGAGGTGGTTATCCTACCTTCGAGTATATCCGCCTACGATCTGATCTGTCATTGCACTTGTGAAGCCGGTGGTATGGAGTTGCCATTAAGCGATCCCATGCCTCATAGCTTCATGAACCTATTCAGATATTGTTCTGACAAGCACTCCTACTTACGCTGCTTCGGTCAGGAACTGCTCCTCAAGAGCTGAGTGTCACATACGGCCAGTTGAGGTTCGGCTGTGTTGACTTGCTTTATTCTTGAGTCCAATTTTCATAGAAAATGGACCAGTACTCTATCTATTTAGATGGATATGGATTCGCCCAGGTTAGATGTTCCCAGCTATCAGAAAGCGTTGGACATGTATCGTTCCAAGGTACGACATCGAAAAAATTAATCTCTTTATGGACATTGTGAAGGATAATCGGTGGTAAGGAGGTGGTGCATTTTCAAGTGGGCTATTGTAACCTCCCGTTGTGATATTGAATCTCTGATTAAGTTACTATATCTGTATATCCTTTTGAATTCCCTCATAAGGTAGCGTCAGTTCGGAGAGATAAGTTCATTAGCTGGCTTTCTCATTCATCACATAGCTCTGGTAGGGCCTATAAAAGGTCCTACTGGAACATATAAAGGTGAGGGGTGTGTCACTAGACTTTTTGTCTAAGGAAAAACTCCTCTAGCTTAAGCAGTGTTGGGTTGACCCGTAGACCATATTTGCTATATCTCTATTTGCCTCTGGTCCACCTCCTCCTTCCGTGGTATTATAGGGTGGTCCTCTCACAGAAATAAGGTCCAAGAAAGGGCGACTGAAAACCATAACTATTAAAGCCATGTCAAATCTAAAAAAATAAAATGATTGCTTGATTTCTAGGGAGAAAACGTCCGAGCTGTAGTCATCATTAATCCACACAATCCACTCGGAGTTGTATTTCCAGCTGACGATGTGATACGGTTGTGCGACTGGGCTACAAAGTACGTTAACTTCTGCTCTGTATTTTGAAATTTCGTGATTGCTTGGATGAATTGTTTGTATCTGTTTCTAAAAGGGTGTCTAGACACAAATTTCTGTGGAATCGGGCTGAAAGTTTCAGAAGTGACGTCTTGTTCAAGTTTTCGGCTTGAGTTTGGGAAAAAAACCACTTCACTCTTTCATATCATGATGTGGACCCTTTCTGTCGATAAATATTATCCTTAATCCTTTCACATACCTCCCTTGACGATGACAATAACCTGAGCTAATAATCACTGTGTATTTACGCATGCGGAAGGGCTGTGAAGCCGTAGGGTCCACGTGATTTAGACTCCATTACGAGATCGAATCCTACAGCTAACCCATGATTTGGCCCTCTGGGTCGGTTGGCTATCCGTTTGGTAGGATATACATGTTCATATAGCCTGATCCCCTCTCATTGTGTAGACCAGAAAGGCATTCCACATCCCAAGTTATGTTTCCCAATCCCAGGCATAACGATTATAGCAATTGGATTTCAGGAACGATCTTGTGGTCTTGATGGATGAGTCATTCGCTTCATGCGTTTTTGGTCCATCCGCTTTCAAGAGCTTCCTCAGTTATCGGCATCGGCTGATGAAGCCCAAAAATGTTTTCTATTTATGGAGTTTAAGCAAGGTATCGTGCACTCAGTAGTAAGACAATTTCAAAAAGCCTGACTGGTGATTTTCAATCTTTTAAGGATTTCGGTGTTCCGGGTTTGAAAATATCCTTGGTGCAGTCTTCGTCTAAAGAACTTTTGGAATCGTTATCACGACTTGAACTCATTCATTCCGTTTCTGCACTTGCTCACGATGCTGCAACAGCTCTTCTTTCTGACTTCGGTATGATATTTACTAGTATTTTTCCAATCGGTTAATAGGTAATGGATGCATAGGAATTTTCGCTCTTCTGAGTAGTTCCGCCTTTTTGTTTAGGGCGATTTTCACCCCTCAGTTCATTAAAAGTCAGCATTTACCAGTTCCAAACAATTGTAACTAACATAATAAAAGTCATCTCAGGAATTCAAAATGATATCAATCCCTGTCGGGGAAATATGGTGTGAGGACCGCAATTTTCCTGTGTAATGGGCGAGTGTACAAACCCGCATCTTATACGATGCACATCTTCTTTATATTCAGTTAGAGTCAAAGAGTACGTTCAGAACAGCCAAAACCTACAGAAGTCCAACCTGTATGCTGTAGCCCGATTACGGTAAATGTTACNCCTCTGGTTCATGAACACCGTTGAACTCCATTCTCCAGTGAAATAGGTCTTGCCTTTGGGCCGTATATTTGCCTAGTTATCTCCGTCTAGTGTCTTATTTCTTTCCTGAGGTACGTGGCTATGGTATAGTAGTAGGGACTGCTGGGATGCAGCATTTTTTGGGTGGAAATGCCGTTTATTTATTTATGTTTGTTTGCGTTTTGCTTGCTTACTTGTTTTTTTGTCTTATACTATGTTTTGTCGAGTTCCTGATGGGAACTTTCTATATGTTTACGTATTTAGAATGGCTTCGAAGTTTTCATGCTCTAAAGCTGGCCAGACTGTCAGCTCATTACGAGTTTCTTGCTAACAATCTTCGTGAGATTGGTTTGAGATTCACACCGGCAGTTGCCGGTTGCTTTGTGATGATCGACTTCAGAAAGGTTAGATGACCTTGTGATTCTGATGGTTTCAGTTTGCAGTCACTTTTACTTGCAGCATCTTCGCTCGCAAACGTTTGAGGCAGAAATGTCTTTGTGGCAACGGTTTTGTGATCGTGGAGTGATGCTTACACCTGGACAACATGTACTCTGTCCTCAGCCGGGATGGATGCGATTGGTGTTCAGTTGTAGCAAATACGAACTCACCGAAGGTACTGAAAGCAGAATTCCAGCTTCCACACATTTCACAATGACCTGCTGTGAGCTCACTCCTAGAAAAGGAGCAGGACTAGAATTAACCCGATAATATCGTCCATCTCCCCTTGCCACCCACCCTCAGAAGCCCGGCGGGTGGTGTTTCGTGCCTCACGAAAACAACTGCATGAGTGGGAAAACTCCACTCCTTGAAGTTTTCTCAGGAGGCAACCTAGTGCTCTGCCATAGATGCTAAGCCTGGGATGGGGACCTGTCAGAACCTCTCCATCAATGTCCTGAGTCGGATCCCACCACTAAGACGAGATGAATGGTGGTATGAGGCACTCCGCCCACAACAGTCCGTAAAATCTCTGAGCGCCCATCAACGATTTCCCAGATAGTCCCCAGCATCTACGAGCTGGCATGCCTCGTCGATAAGTTTTTGGAAGTTTTCCCTGAAAAAGCCCAAGTGAGAGCTGGGATTCATGTAAAGTTGAACTCTTGGAAGGAGTTTTCAGGTGATTATTTTTAGGAATAAATCGATTGCGAGCATTTTTTAATCTTCCACCCGTACGGGCGTCTATTGACTGCTGAATTTCGCGGCAATTTATGTAGATTTGGTAAGCTCAGAAGAATTTTCCGATTTAGGTCCGAGATAATTTCCCTCTTTTTCAGGAATCAGGAATCACTCTCATTCTACAGGAGTGTTCATTTTGAGATGACATTCATATTGTCTTATATTGTTTATACATGATTTTTATTCTCACTTTTGAGAAATCTGAGAGTTTACAATAAATTCTTAATGAATCCGTTTGTTATCAGTTCTAGACAGACATCTTGACATCGGACGGCACTGCATCTTATTGTTAGCTCTTCACGTAGTAGGCAAGGATAGAACACAGGATTGCTCACCGGCNTATCTAGCTAAAGACTTGGCTTCAAGATTACACACCCATATAACTCCAATGACGCCCATATATGGACCACAAAAGATCCTGATTTGGAATTGGTCGAGCCCAGGATCTTGGTTTCAATTAATCGGAATTATCTTGTCTACGGAAGAAAAGTTAGTTCAGCCAGCTTTATTCGTCTAAAATAGTGTCAGCGATAGCCAGTATCTGTTTATATGTATGCTCGTAAGTTAGTTGTCATTGCTTCAGCCAAGGGATTATCGAGAGAGAAAGGATAGGATCAGTTCGGCCGCTTTCCTTACTTTTTCTGATTGGTACTACATCAGGTGACAGGGTAAGGGTGTGAAAAAGAGCGCCATCAGTACAGCATTCCCGAACATATCCACGAAGATCTGCTGAAAGCACCGCCCGCTTGTTCAGTATGAGCTCCCATTCTTGTTTGATACTGACGATATCGGCATAACTGCCTGATATTCATAGAAGCATCCGAAGATTTGTTAACGGTAAACTGTAAACAACATAAACATAATGATAAGCATCTGGCTGAGGAGTAGATAACACACGCCTCTTTCAGTTCGGTCGACCACCCCAAACTCATAAAATAATTCTTGTTAATCATGGAGAAAATCCAGTAGCGTTCAAGGTGTTAACGACCGATAACTATGCTTATTTCGTTAACCAGGTAAGTGCAATCATGTTGGCAGCGTCAATGTTGGCTACTTGTGGATATCAAACGAGTCTTTACCTTTGAATTACATGATGACCTAGAGGAGGAAGTAGAGCAGCGCCATGTTGCTCCACAGCCCCACTTAAGGTCCATGGCTTCAATTCTAGACCAGTGCCTCCATACGGCTGGAACCGCTGGAACCATCTAACTCTTCCATTCTTTCTGGACAGATCGGATCAGGCTTGCCTTATTGTGAAATGATGTCCTACAACTA